TATATATGCCGTTAGTTGAATTGATTTAGATCACTTATTTAATGCTAAACGATGTAAAGAATCCCATGATTAATAGCAAACTGTTGAACTACAGTAGGTTGACAATTTTTTTTTTTTTTTATAGTTTATTTTTTTTTGCCTTAGGGTCAGAAGTGGGTAGTAATTGGTCATATTTAGTCCGTTCAATCTGAAAAACTCACACAAAGAGAAAAGACAATTAAAAAAAATGTATTGATACAATTACTTTAGTCTTTGGCACTCAGACCTCGGCAAGAAACATTGCTGAATTTTTTGATTTATATGCATGAACAGGAGCAAAGAACAGGGTCAGTCTGTAGACTGCTGGTTAGTGAGACGGTATGCTGAGCTTTATGGGGAGATCCAGTGGACTGTGTGAGCTGATGCTTCACTTAAGGACCTGGAAGATGGGAGTCCAGTTGGATAACACAGGTTTAGAGAACCTTTCCATGATGAGCAAGCATGAAGCGCCAGTGGAGAGGAAAAACTCCCCATTGGGAAGAAACGTCTGGCAGAACCAGGCTCACGGAATGCATTAAGAGTCCGGGAGGAATAAAACTCTGATGAAGTTTTTGCTACAATGGTGGAGAAGGGGCTGAAGGTGGATTGAAACGGGTCATTTGAAGGAAGTCAGACAGCGGAACCACTTCCTGCGCACTAGGTAGTAGACAAGTTGCGGATCGGAGGCCTTTTAAAATTCCCTTGGAATGCTGACTGGCTTTCATGGAGGCGTGTTTCAAGCTGATTGACTGTGTTGTAGGCGGATGAAGGCGAGTAATCAGTTTATTCAGTTGAACTTCCCGCTGGGCTCCATTTACATTTACTAAAGTAAAACGTTTTTTAAAAAATATTTCTAGCTGCAAATTTACTTTGCCGAACGTTTTACTTTTACTTGAGTTATATTCTTGTGAAGTATCTCTACTTCGCTATTAAAGTATCTGTGATTTCTCCGTCCTCTGTGAGGAATTTAAACAATTCCAAAATCAGCTTAACGTTCAATAAACAATAGATATTAACATAGGAAGTTTGTTAGCATGTCCTAACAAATATACAGTTCTCATTGTAAGGATTGGTTTTCTAAGTAAAAAAAAAGTATTTCTTCTGAACAAATTTCTTCTTTTATTTTCAAGACATTTATTTTTTATTCTTTAGTCATTTTAGTCTATAAATACTAGATCTTATACATAAAGCCTGTTTGTTGCATCATTTATAAACATTACATTTGATTTTATTATCCAACAGTTAATCAGTACTCAAGCAGCCTTTCTACCAAATCCTTTTTTACTTTTACATGAGTAATTTCTTGGATGACTACTTTTTACTTTTACTTGAGTAAAAAAATTTTAAAGTAGTGCTACGGTTAGTTAAGTGCAATTTTTGGGGACTCTACCTACCTCTGCTTAGGGCAGGATAAACTTGCATCCTTGCTTAGCCTGGTTTGTTATGGAATACTAACATTATTGTTTGTTAATGGCTAAATTTACTGTAGATACTGCCACCACTGTGAAAGCCTTAATTTATTAAAGCCATTATTGTTGGCATTACTAAAACAGGCCTTTTCTATTCCCCATATTTATACTCAAAGAAAAACGGAAATCATTGATGAACATGTTGTAGAAGTAGATTAAACTGATTAATCTTCAAATCATGATAACATGAAAAAAAAAAACTATCCTAAATGTAAGTAGTCTGTTTTAACCCCACCCACTCAAAAGATCCCCTCTTCACCCCACAGTCATTTTTACGGGTGGAGATCATTCCTCCTCCTAGAGTTTGGCCTCACAAATAGTAAAAGGAACAGAGCTGCATGCACAGATGTTTCTGGGTGTGTATGTTTTGCTTCTTGTCTTTATTCTCTTTTTTTCCACTTATTGTTGCTTCACTGTAGTTTCTAGCATGTTAGTACAGCTTCCAGGTCATCCTGAGACTTAGAGCCCCCATGGCTTCAGGAGCTTGAAAGCAAAGAACAGGTCAATAAACCCCTGCTGGGATTCTGGAAGCACAAGAAGCTCTAACTGTTGCAACAGTCTTTTTCTTTCCTTTTTTTTCTACAGATATTGCTCTTGTTCATATTTTATTTTATTTTTTGCATTTTTTGCTTTCAGTGCTCAAAATCTTCCTCCATTCTCTGCAAACAGCTTCAGTATCAGTTTTATTTCAGAATATAGAGAAAATGCCTTGTCTTGTACTGAACTGTGGCTACAAAACTCAGTCAACGCACTAGTTTCAAGATATCAAAGAATTCATTAAAAGACTCAAAGGTCTGGGTTTTAAGAAATACTTAATAAAAAGTGTTACCTTTTTCTTTTGGCACAATATCTAATTTCAGAGAACTATGCGTCCACAGAAACGCCTCTTTACTTGCCAATTTTCCCTAATATAATTTTAGAAAAACTCCTCTTTTAGGTGAATATGCATAAAATTCAATAAACATCCATCTAATATTTTAACCCTCCTATCCTCTCACTGATCCCTCTGCTTCTCACAGGTGTCTTCCCGCCTTCAGGCTTAGGCCTTCATGTGATGGTGAGGGATGAGAAGAGGTATGCGATCCTGTTCCAGTCAGTGGTTCTACCATGCCAATACACCAGCGTTTCCACACAGCCAGCTATGGTGAAGTGGATTTACAAATCGTACTGCAGGGACCGCACAAGGGACTCCTTTAACCTCCCAGACAGCTTGAGTGGAGGCGGGCTGCAGGGTGGAAATGTAGGGACGGGCAGAGGCTACGAGACGGGTACGACTGCCAGCCACCTGGACTGCTCTGACAACAGGAGGACTGTCAGGAACGTGGCCTCCATCTCTGGGTCCTCGGTCACTCTCTCTGAGTTCTACAAGAACAGAGATGTTACCATCATCAATAGTAAGCATTTCTCCTCTGCAGATCAAAACTGTGCTCATATACAGTAAACCCTGTCTGCTTCTCTTGCTTGGTGACATTTCAGCCTCCATGTAAACATGCCTTTAGTTTTCTGTTCTGATGCTTTGTTGCTTTAATGTCCTTCAAAGACCTTAAGGGACAGGCTGTTCTTCCATGCATGTGTGTCTTGAAAGGCTTATTCTGCACTGAAGGGTGGTCTTGTTTGCTGGTCTCAGATTTATGGAGCACTAACTCTCTCCTTGAGCCAGGATTTTGGACAAAAGAAAAGTCTTCCACACTGTACCTCATTCATCTCCACCTCTGCTCTGTTCCCTCTGATGTATTTCAGTGTCCACCCCTTCATCTCCCCCCTCAATATAACACTGCTGTCTTTTTCCCTCTCCCACTCTTTTTTTTAAAGCGTACTAGAGATCTGGTAAACTGACAGAAAAAAGTAAAATCTATGTTGCTGTTGGAGACATCCAGTCATCCATACACATGTAATCCTATTCAAGGTCGCAGTGAGGTTGGAGTCTCTCTGACTAGGCTCTATGCAGGGGGGGCTCTGGTAATCACATGGCTAACACGCTCAACACTTCACAGTCCACATATACACAGCTCAGACGATTCATTATATAAAGGTTAATCCAAGGAAATCAAAGGAGATTTTGCTTTACAGCTTTTACAAGAATATCTGAGACCGGTCCTACTGCGTCTATCTTTGCCTAACAGGAAAAGGAAGGGAATTCTACTAAGTGTTTCCTGCTTGGTGTATTTATGCATGTGACCCTCTTACAATAGAGTTACTGACCCAGGGTTGTCAGCAAGCCAGTTAGATTTGAACCCTTCGAATCACATTTTTATCACAGAACTTAAATCAAAGTGTGCATCTATAACTTGTTGAAGTTTAGGTTTATATATTGTGTTGAGTTCACAAGAGTAGGCTAGTTTGCAAAACAACGTGCACATTAGCTACAACATTTCTACTTCCATCATTCCAACAGAGATCTATGAAACTATTGAGCAAATGTTTTAACGTTCTAAACCACTCCCAAGATCATTTGGACTTAATCAGCTGCCTTTAAAATCTTCTGATGATGTGTTTGTCTGTAACTCTTCGAGCTTTCGGGCATCCTATTTTCCTCTGGATCTTTGCTGGGTTTTTTTTAATTTTTCTTAAGCATGAGGAAAGCAGGCAAAAAATGTGGAGAAAAAAAAGAAGTTTCAGGGTGAAAAAATGAATATCTGCTTTTTATAGCACTAGAATCTGGAGTTTATATGTTTAGGAAGTCAAAGTATGGTGGTCTAGAGGTGCAAACTTATTGCAAATACATAAACACAGCAAATACAGAAATTACTATGGCTGTAATAGTATGTAGATTTGTGTAGAATCCAAGGGTACACATCTCTCTGTTCGACGCAATTCAGTACCAAACTGTTGGATGCAAGATTCGTTTATGTAGCAGTTTCTGGCTTCATTACATTTTTTTCATCCCACCAGACAAATTTAAATGTTGGACTGGTGAATCTTCACCTCCACTTGACACAGTGAGCTAACCGTCCTGTTCCTAACTTTAACTTATAACAACCTGGTTTGTTAGCTCGTTGAGCTAGAGGAACACAGTCAGTGTAATGCACGGTTCCAGTTTCACAAACCCGCACCCGTCCGAACCGTCAGTATTACTACCAAACCCGACCTGTTCAAGTTTAACCCATAGTCTGACTCGTTAATAAATCAAGATAGACTGAATTCTGTCCCTTCCTATATTTGATGTTTTTTCATTTTTTTTATATGTATGCTTTTCCATAGTTTTAATTTACAAAAATGACAACACAAAAAAAAAATACATGAAGTTTGTTTTAAGCAGGAACTCACTCAACATTTTTTGAACTGCTTAATATTACAAATAAATGAATAGATCAATGAATCAACTGTACCCACCCAAACTAAATAAATATCCACCCACACTTGTTTCTCTTTATCGATGTAATTTTCTCCCAAAAAGGAGAACTTTTACATTTTATCCATCCCGTGTGTTATTCAGGCAATCTTTAGATGTGAATGCCTGTTTGTTTTTTTTTTCTATTTTTCATTGAAAAAGTGTTAAAAACAATTACAATTACCATTACAACTCTATAAATTATTGCAAACAAAATATTGAGACAAGCAAAGACAACAAAACTAGCACAACACAGGAATCATGCTAACACATACAACACTTACAAAGGGAAAATGCTGCACAACAATTGCAATCGAGAAAAACTGAAAAATGACCTTTAAAATTGGATCAGACCACAAAAATGAGACAATTCAACTTATACAGGACCCCATCCTTAAAAATGGAATAAACCAGATGCTCAAAGATATTACATTTTTAAAAGCTTTAAAGGAAAATGTACTGATGTTTCTTCCCTCCAAGTTCCTCTCGACAACATCCTGTTTAAGTTTTTTCCAAGGGTCTGGTCCACAGATATTCATTTATAATAAAGCCTTTATTTTATCCCAGTTTGTCGTCTTTTCCTAGTGGTGCCGAACACTTCCGTTATTCCAAGGTCATTTGCATCTTTTCTTAGCTTACATTTCCTATGATACTTGCAGCAAGTGTTTGCAAGTGGGGTTTGAAATTGCACCCCTTGCCCATTGTAGAGAAGATATGCATATCAAGTAAATGAGCAATGCCATAAAGTTATAAAAACATGGTTTCATTAACTATTTCTTTGACAAAATATCAGGGAGAAAAAAATCATTTTTGTATTGGTTTCTAATAAATAGCCTGATAACTTGTAGAATATGAGTCAACTTCTAAAGAAATGCATGCTAGACTTTCTATAAGCCTGGATAACTTTTGATCTCGAAGCTGTGTGTCCATATTGCAAAATGTAAAGAAAGTATTATTGGATGACCCAAGATATATTGTTGAAGATATATTGCTTCTTCTTAAGCTGCAATTATAAAAGTTGACAAAATAAAGGACGTTTCTTGGTGCAGGCTTTTATCAGCGGTTATTTCCTCCCATCATGCATTGTACTGTGTTTTGTCAGTTTGTGGTGCTTTATTTTTTTTCTAAAGTGCAAAATGATATTTTTACTGACCATGCTTCTGTTGGTATACACAGTAATGACATGTGTGCTTTGACCTTCATTAATTGGGTAATTTAGTATCTTCTTCCCATAGGCCTTATCTACCTGAGATTTGCATACATGAGAAAACTTGATAGCGTGAGGAAAGCAGATCTCCTAACCACATGTTGTGAGGTGTGCAACAGAAAGTAGAACAGCAAGCAAAAGTATTTTTCCCTTAATAAATTTACAGAGGTGGCAAAATCAGAGAAGGTAAAGCTAGTGTAATAACTTCCAGTGTGATTTATCCAACTTAAAACTGATTGCAGGTGTAGTTTCTGTCTAAATTTAGCACATCTGAAAATCAGACTAACTTTGTGCAAAATGTGCTAATAAATTATAAAATAAAAGTATGTTAACATCTTACTATTACTGTTCACACATCTGTGGTGCTGTTAACACTCAATCTCCAGTTATTATATTAGCCTATCTTTCATGTAACTTAGGTTATGCGATTGACATGATGACAAATAAAAGTTTGGTCCTATGTTTTATTGTTTTGCAATTGTTCAACAGCTTTTCTTTGAGAGCTTCTGCTGGACCACAATTTTTTCCATTTCTTTATATGAAAAACTTTCATATATAATAAAAAAAAATAAAATTGAGGAAACTTTCCAGTAAATGAAATATTTCTGTTTTATTGTGTCGCTGTGTCTAGAAAGATGATGTGACGGCCGTTACTGATACTCATTGTTTTCAAAACCTGAAACAATGGCTCAGACTGGTTGTGACAGTTGGAATAATGCAGATGCAGAAGCTGCTCTACTATTTTTGTTCCTCCAAGTCATAACACTTGGTTTTCTTTCATTTTACAGAAACAGACAAGGTCATTTCCTTTTCCTCTACCTGCATTTTTTCCACATACCTACTATCTGTGCTCAGTGCTGTTGAAAATTGCACCGCTTTTCACACTGGCAAAATAAATCCACCCTGCTCTCTCTGTGATGTCAGCCAGTAGTACAAGCAAAATTCTTCAGAACCTGTTATCATCCATAGACACACTCAGCATATCACTCCCAACACATCATTCACTGCATACGCAATTTTTGGTTTTCGCAAGCAATTTAGTACTCCCTATTTGGGATCGAAGTATTTTGCTGTAACTGGTATCAAAAAGCTCCAATAAATATCTTCCAGCAGAAAATAAGGGGGTTGGTATGTTGTCATAATATTTTATATTTATAAAATTTCATACTCCAAATGAGGATCAGAACCAAGTACCTTCAATACAAAGCAATACAGAATTTGATATAATTGTGTACCATTTATTCAATTACATGATAATACCTGCTGAACGGGGTAGTCCTACCGGTCAGTTTATTTTTAAAAAATTCCAAATCGATCATATTTCTTAGTTGTTGGTTTTAAATTAATTATTTTTATGTAAAAAGAAGTGAGAAGATGATTTATTAACACTGTATTCTAGAGTTATTTTCAACACTCCATATAAACATAAAGTGTGTTTAAAAACAGGGAGAGCTGCTTTAAAACGTTGACTTACTCGTTCATTTAGCTGCAGATCTGCGTATAGGAGAGGTGCAGTGGGGAGACAGTGGTGTTTACTTCTGCCAAGTGACGATCGCTGATGACATAGAAGGACAGAATGAAGCTTCGGTGGAGCTGCAGGTTCTTGGTAAGCCATTTCTACTTTTCTACTCTATCCTTTAGCACTAATATATATATATTTTATATATATATAAAAAGAAACAGAGGTTGTGAAATTAAGCTGTAAGTAGATATACCACACATTTCTGCTGACAGAGCGAGTCACTGACTTTTGTCATGAATTTACCCTCATTAAACCTTCAGATTGTATTCTTTGTGGTTACTTTCATTAACACATTTAAAATATTTTATGCTTTATTGTAAGTGCTTTTTGTAATGACTGTAAAATAAACTTTTAAATTGTACATTTCTGCATATCAGAGCTTTTAAAATGGGCTGCTGTGGCTCATTGTGGAGCTGATTTACAACAACCAGTAGTTCTTCCTGCACATTCTTCTTTTATTTGAAACCAGAGCAACTGTGTTCAGCTGTACAGTATGTTACTGGGCTTTGAAATGCAGTTTGTGCTGAACAGGCTACAACACTTTATTAGGTCAATGAGGAGTGTGAGTTGTGTGTGCGTTTAGTTGCAAAGGTTACCACAGAGACTGCTGAGACACCATTTGACCTCTAAGGTGCCCTCAACATCACTGAACACTGAACTTCTGTTTGTTTAATATCCAACGGACTCGAAGTGTAAAGCTAATACATTCAGGTTATAACAAGCAATAAGCAACCCTAATATGTTTTTGGATCTATATATTAATCCATCATAGGCACAGAATTTGTCTATTTCCTGATTTTTTTCACCGTTTGAGGCACTTGTTGTGTTCCCATAACAACAGCTGAGGCCACGCTCAGGGTGTCTTTTGTCTTTTCAGCAAATGGCTTCACAGAAAAGAAGGCAGGGAAGATTTAATGATGTGGAGGAGGCAGGGCAGAGCACAGTGATACAATAGGTTCAGAGTAATGCCATGTGAGACGCTTCACTGGTATTTTAGAGAACTAGGTGAAAACTCTGCATCCAAACACTAGAACTAAACCTTTGCTCTGCTACATCCTTTATTTTAAGTCATATGATCTAGTTTAATACCATGACCTCATGCCTCATAAATATAAATATTGGCTTTTGGTTAAACATTCATTGGTATATTGGAGGATTTTCGCAATTTTTTTTAAAAGAACCGCCGCCTCCACTTAAAAAAAAAATGCACATGCACAGCCCTGTACCCGGCACCAAGAGGAAACACCTATTAAACATGTGCAAGAGCATGCAGGAGCCCATTTTTCCTCATGCACACTCGCTGGTTTCACTCGCTCATACAAGCTTACTTTCCAAATGAAGATTTGCAATTTTTCCACTATGTCAGACTCACCACCGGTATGTGAAAATGGGGACGAGCACATAGGACTGCCTTACGTAAACATATCAGCAGAATGATTGACAATTGGGAGGACCACTTATTTTGATGATCCACCCGGAAAAAGAACACCCTCCACCATACCCTTAAAGAAAAATGTTTTTGATTGCATTAAGCTGAAGGATATCAATTGTAGTTGTTTTCAAAAATCACCTGTCCAGGCATTATAAGCCTTTTGAATTGAATCTAGACTCACTTCATTATTTAAGGTTTTTCTGGAAACAGAAAAACTAAGTCAAGCAGTTTGTATACATCAGCCTATATGGGATTACAAAAAACATTCCCAAAGAGTCCATCCAAAATAACTAAGCAATAAAAAAATAACAAAATAAAACAAAGTATTCCTGAAATAAATTAAAAAAAACAATAAGAGAGCAAATCTTGTTTATTGAAATCTTCCTAATGAAATCTTTCTGCATTAACTGAAACACGTGTTTTGTTTTCCAACCCAGCAAAGACCAGTTTTAATCCTCCACAGAGATTGAACTAAGGTATGTGTGCTGTCAGTTGGAGTCAGGCCAAAATAGTTCAGCTTACACACTGTTTGTGCTGCCTTGCTTTTGGCTCGGCAGGCATAGCTTCACTCCTTTCTGCCAATAATCACACTCTCAACTGCTAAACACAGGTTCTGTTTACGCCACAGGGATAAGTGTGGGGGGTGGGGGGGGATTTCAGCTCTCGAATTGCTGAAGTTTGTTTATGTGTGCACATGATTTAAGAAAACGTATAATCCTCAATATTGGTTTAATCAAACCTCTTCCTTTCAAGGGTATAGAAAAATACACTAGCTACTGTCACACATGACTTTTAACCCATCCACCCTCTCTTAAAAGATATACAAGTTAAATGCACTTAATTAATGATGTTAATCAGACTCTGGGATTGCCTAATTAATCAAACTGTCCTCACTGCTTGTCCAGAATTTAAAAAATATATCCTTAACTGGGACATTCGGTTTCTCATGGCCTGTGTTTTTTATCTTCATGGGAATAATTTGAAGTTTCAGTCTTCGCTATCATCAGATAGATAATATTTCCAGACCTCTAAAATCACAAATTTCATGGTCGTTGCACAGCTCTGATATGATAACTTTCTGAAATCACAAACAAATTCTATCTTTATGCTTTGACCTCTCATCTTGTTCTTCTTTTCCTTGCTTTGCTGTGTTTTCTCACCTTAAAGCGTGCATGCAGGCTTCCACCTCAGTATGTCCATCTCTCAGTTTGCTCATCTTGATCAGCACTCCTTTGCTCTGGTCACCTTTGCTCTGTCTCTCTCCAGGTTTCTCAGGTGTGCCTGAAGATCTCCTTCCTGACTTTGATTTGAAGATTATGCCAGGTACAGTTGGGGCATAATGCCTTCTACTCTGTATCTGCTTTCCTGCGTTCCACTAACTCTTCCGCTAACTACATCTGAGTTTTTCTTTGGCAGTTTTGCTGAAGAAATACAGGCAAACGAACATACCTGGAGCATCCATTAAATCCAAATAAAAATTTAAAGTTAATGTTCAGATTGGTTATATCATATCCCACACTTTTATTTTATCTTCCAGAGAACATCTTGTATATTTCAAACTTTTAAATGGGCCACCTTGGCAGAAACAAAAACATGATTTCTAACATTTTGCTTGGTGATATATGGTTCTGGTGAGCAATTTTCTTCAATTTTACTTCATTTATTGTAACACAAATGCATTGAATACAACATATGTCTGTAAATTAGCTCTAAGGAAGCTTTAACAGAGTCATTCTGTAGATAACAGGCTGATCCACACCCATCAAGTAATGAGCTGGCCATTGCTCCCGCTAAGATGAGCTGTGTTGGAAAACAGTCATTATGGTCATTATAGTTATTTATGGCTCTGGTTAACATGTCATTTAGCAGTATTTGGTTAAAGGCCTGCAGTTCTAAAGGAGGTGGTGTTTATGTCACACATATTAGTAATCAGATAAAAGACAATCTGCAGAAATTGTGTTAAAATAATCCCGAAGTGATGCAAAACGTCACTGAGGCTGAGTGGTTGATAGTTGCTCATTTCAGTTATGGCGTTAGTGGTATTGACTCACAAACATTCCTCCGGAGTCTAAAATACTTAAGAAAGATTGTGTATTTTTGTAGGAGTCATGTTGGCTGCAGATCAGATCACATTACAAGTTATTTAGTTGTAACAGCCAGATTTTCAGTGTTGTAGAGAGCAGCATAAACGGACCTCTTCCTTCCTTCAGCAGGGCCAGGTTTCCTGCCAGTGTGTATTTGGTGTCTGAGTCTGTAGGCCTGTGTTTATGAGACACAGAGAGAATGTGGTGCCGTATATAACATTGTTGAAGGTTTCCTTATCTCTCCTCTCCTTCCCTCTTTTTTGTGTAGTCTCCATAGACAGAGGTTATAGAGGGGGCCTATCTGTTGTTCTTCATAATATGTTGTGCAAAATTATCACCTTTTTGTCGTTTTCTCACACTGATAAAATATTTAGAAAAGCTGGAAAAGGCAAACATGTTTTCAGTTAAGTTATTTTAAGGTTAATGAATTTTTTTCTTTTGTCTTTTCTTTGTTTCCCGCTTGATAGTTTCGCAATTTATCACATTTAAAAAACAAAACAGTGTTATTCAAAAAGCTAAATAGAATTGAAAAGAAAGATTTTAAAAGGTATTTTTCACACTATTCTGTCTTGAAAATAATCTGTTTTTGCCTTGTGTTATGCCTTGTTGAAACCAATCATATAGGTTAAACAGTGTCTATAAATGGGAGTAAACAGCTTGAAAAGCGTACATTGTGCTGTGGTGTTTTGCAAAATTGCTGCTGGTCTGCTTTGTGTGAGAATTTATGCATAGTTTTGAACATCGACAGTATCTGTCGGAATCAAACGAGTAAGAAGTGGGTAGCAGCATTAGCATGTTCTGGTCAGGATCATACGTTAAAACTAGAAAAGCACTGGAAGAGTGCAGACCTCCACCGAGCAGCTCATTTCCTCCAACATATTGGGACTTCTGCCTTAAGTTAATACCGGTACTTGTATTCACAGAGTCACAAGACGCGCCTTCTCTGCAGATTTCAGAAAAAAAATCATCTATATCTGTTATTTTGGAAACAGACAGACAAACCAACGCCGATACAAAACATAACCTCCTTGGCGGAGCTAATAGATCAGCTGTGATAAACTAACATGTTTTTTACAGAACGATGAAGATATCAAGTTCTTATATTGTCAAATAACCAGCTGCGATTAGCTCAGTTCTCAACTTAATGTATTAAAGGTCAAATAATTAAGCTGATAAGTAAGACAAGACTTTAAAAGCTGCTCCATTTGATATCTTATCTGTCCACAGCAGTGTGAAAGATCAAGCTGATGGTGAATATTTGGGCTGTTTTAATAGAAGAGCAACTACATTTACAAGATTTTCATTTAAGCATTCGCACAAACATGTATCATGTATCTGCTTGTGCACGTTCAAGCTGCAAAAAAAAAGAAATCTGCTTGTTTTTTTTCCCTATGCTGTGTGTCCTTGCAGAATGGGTGTTTGTGGTGGCTGTGGTGCTCGGCAGTGTTTTATTCCTGCTGCTGGTTGGAGTTTGTTGGTGTCAGTGCTGTCCCCACTCCTGCTGCTGCTACGTCAGCTGCTGGTGTTGCCCTGACACGTGCTGCTGCCCCCGACACTGTGAGGATTAACACACACTTAGAGTGGAAAATGCTTCAGGCTAGGATTATTGGTGATGTATGATCATTTGGTTGTATTGAAGATGTGTGAAATGGTTTATTTTTAGTGTACGAAGCAGGTAAAGGCATAAAGACTAGAACCTCCACCCCTCAAACTCCAGCCTACCCTCCATACTTTGTGTCTGGACTTCCAGCCATGGTCCCCATTGCCCCGCCATCACTGGTGGACAAGGTGTCTTCTGCCCCCCCCTCAGATGGCACCCTGGTTGCAGCAGGTAAAGTCTTTCTTTATTTATTCTACTTAAAAAGAGCATCATTGGCCTTATTGCTGGATAAAGACCAAATATAAAAACTGATAAACATTTGAGAATATATTCTTTTATAACAGCAATTTAAAGCAGCCATGACTTCACTTTTTAGGATATGTTTTGATAAATACACTCCCCTTTATTGACTAATGTAAAATTTAAATTTAGCTAAGGCACATGACCCAGATTAATAGGTCACTATTTTCTGTGCTGTTGGATCAATTAGAAATTAATTTATTGCAGTTTACCAGAGTGATTTTAATATCAGATTTTAGCAAATCCTAGTCTACGTTTATGCTGAACTTATGCGTAATGTAACCTTTGATTCTTTATGGTGGTGAAGATTCTCAGTGATCCAGGTACCGTAATAGTCATTTTAAAAAAGTAAAAAAAAAAAAAAAATCCACTAGACTTAATTTCTAAGTTTGAAGATGTTTCGCTTTCCATCCAGGAAGGTTTTTTTATTGCAAAGAACAAAGAACATGCAAAGAACAAGAAACATGCAAAGCAAAAAATGTCTTATTCTGGACACCGGTTGGAAATAATGCAATAAGAAATTTATATACTCACTGAAACAGATCTGTTGTTTACTGCAGACAGTTTTTGGCGTTATCAGTTTATTGTACTGGTACTAACTTGTTGTAATGATCAGAAGCCTCCTCTGGCATTACTGGTATTTCTACCGTTCAGCTGTCCTTTTACAATTATGACTGTTACAGTATCTCCAGTGCCAATGCATGCTGTGGGGATGCCCTACCGTGTTCCTTCACCACAGGATCAAAACTCTCTAAGGGTTCTACAGTATGTAGAGAAACAGCTGGCTCACTTCAACCCTTCCAGGTCCAGCAGCAGACAGAGTAAGCTTGATAAATCCGCTCTGTAGCTTCGCTACTGAAGCCTGCTGATGCTATGTGCTGGTTGGATGCTTCCATTTAGCATTCCCATTTTCTTGAGCCTATCACAGCATGCTCTCTGCTCTAAGTCTTTCTGCCTGCTGGGTTTCCTGTTGTTCACACATGAACATGTAGCAGATATGCATGCCAGCTTGATTTACTTGGTTTTAACAAATGTAATTCTAAATGTCTGGTTATGTTTCCAAGCTTTGGATTCTACTCCTGTGTCTTCCTTATAAGATACTATTTTCAGTGGTTCCCTTTTTAATAATCTGCTATCCATTTTTTTCATATCCAGCCTGCAGTCAGTCAGAGTTGAGCTCCCTCCATGAAGTAGACACCAACTTTCGCCAAACTTATAGAAACGTCCAGAAGAAAGCCCTACCTGCCATCCCTGATCAAGACTCCTCTTGTCAGGAACCCCAGAGCCGCCGTGAGAACTGCAGTCCAGAGCTGCAGCGTCACCGTAAAAACCCCTCATCACCACATCGTTACCATCACCCAGATTCAGACCACCTTGACAGCCAGGATGAGCCTCTACTTCCACGACGATACAGCGATGACCCTCCGTCTTCCTCTCATTCACACAGGATTGGTCGAAGTAAGCGACAACAGAACTCCAGTGATGAGGACACTCACGGCAGGTGCTGATGTTTGTTAATATTTCTGAATTTGGGTTTATTATTATTAATAACAATGCAAAACAATTACTTGGTACAATTGCTATAGTACTATATACACTGTTTTGTATTGTCTGTCGTATTTTTATGTCTAATGACATCTTGCTTTAACTCTTTGTACCGTATATGAGCTACTGGAACCAGAATTTCCCTGAAGGAGTAATCCAAGGGATAAATAAAGTTGAGTCTAAGTCTAAAACACCTTCTTTGATATCTTGTAGATGGAACCCTTGTTCAGAAAATCTGCAGAGAAAGACCTATCGCTCTTCTGGACGGACGGGCTCCCTGGATGAGCTGGAGGAGTTTGCTGCTTCCTACAAACGGAGAGAAAGCAGAGGAAAAGAAAGGAGAGGGGAAGAAATGGTGGAGTATGAGATGGAGGATCTGGAGTACAATGGATACCCTTCCCATCGCAAAGGTCCTCCTCAGCATTATTACAGCAATGAGGATCATTTTGATGATAACAGTGTGCAAGAAGGTTATACCAGAGCAAACAACAACAGCAAATACAACATAAGCCCTCTTCCTTCTCCTAAAAAGAAGGGGGGCACACGGGAAAGGGAGAGGCCTGAGCCACCACCCCCAGTAATGAGCCCACCATCAAAGTCCTCTCAGGACAGGGACTACGACGCCACTTTCCTGAATAGCTTGTTGGAGCGTAAGGAGAAACTACGAGGAGTTTCCCAGAGAAAGAATGAGGCGCGGTGTGAGGAAGATTTAGATTCACCTTCAAGGGGGGGCACAAAGAAGAGCAGTAGGGAATCCAGTCGGCTCTGTAGCCGCTCTCCCAGTAACAGGCCTGAGGCAGACTCGCTGCCTCCATCTGACTCAGAAAGAACCAGAACTGAAAGACTGTCTCCACGAATACTTCCAGCAAACGCTCGCTCCTCCCCACCTGTTTATTCCCTGCCTGCTTATAGGGAGGAGCAGCGGGACAAGTCCCGGAAAGTGGTGAGGAAGATCACACACAAATAAGGTTTCTGTGTGCCAGATGTTTTTATATTAAAAACAATAAGTAAAACATGTGGTTAGAATTCAATTTGAAGATTCTTATTGATTTAAACTTTAAATATTTATTTATATATCCAACAGTGATAGTTACTGCATTTCATCGTGTATTTCCTTTCAGATTCACAAAGAGATAAAATTTCCTAAAATTCTATATTTTTCATGTGAGACAGATAATTTACTTTAGATAATTACTTTCTGGCTATTAGAAAATGAATCAAGTGGATCATCTCTTAAATTACAGACAAGGTTATTGTGAAAGTTATACAAGACATTGCAATGTATTGATACTGAGCCAGGAGGTTTGGTTTATATTTAAATCCAGCTGATCTTTAAAGGCCTTGGAAGTTTGTTAGAGAAAACAAGTGAATAAACTTCATGATGAAGATTAAGGGACTGTAACTATAGCAAAGTGGACCCAAACGTTTAGCTGGACACAGCAGATAAATGCCTAAAGATTTCTTGAAATATGTATTCATACACCAGCGGCAAGATTAGGAACCTCTTCTCAGAATCTGTGCTAGTAGGGATGCTGAATTTCGTCTCCTCGCTATAGCAGGCTGGTGGCACCGCTGTGTACGTGCATCTTCTGAATAGGAATCATTGGTTTGAAATCAGGGTTTGATCCAAAAAACAACTACAGGAACACACAGGAAAGGATCTTCAGATTCCTCAACCCAGGAGGTTGGCAGGAGTAAGTGATCTGGAGATAGAAACTGTGTTAAATTCATAGAAGCAGAAATGGGCAACAGGATTAGTAAAGTAGGCGGCAGTCAGGAGGCAGAAAAAGGTTGATATCCAGAGATCAGAAGCCAAGAGAATATCCAACTTGGGCAATGCAGAACAGAGAAATCATGGAGGCCGAGATCAGGTAGACATTCAAAGAAGGAACGCTGGCCATTCACTCACAATGGCTTTCAATAATCTGGCTCTGCTTGTTGGGTATACAGTCTGAGTAAATGAGGTGTTATTTAGTAAATGAGGTGGGGTTAAATATCAGTATGTTGTAACCCATATGCTGCAGATAGAGAATCAATCAATATTTTCCGGAGTCCCTGTCAGTGAGATCAGTTGGAATATACCATTCTGTTAAGTGGGCTCCAAGTTGACTAGCTGAGTAACATTTGGGCAGAGCACCTTTAGTGTCAGAGGTTTTCTCTATTTTTTTCTGTGAAGAAAGAAAACTGTTGAAACAGGAGGATTTAGAAACATTGAAACAAATAAGCTTTAGTATCTTTTCAGGTTTGATAACTGAGTGCAAAACTAGCCTAATCTAAAATCTGCACAATAATGTAGAGTTTTGCCCTTTATGGAGCTTCCACACTGACTTTTTCTTTATCCGTTTTGTCTTGTTGTCCTTTGATCTACCCACGGTTCCCCTCTCATATCCTTGTTAAGCAGAGATCCTCGTATCTCCTCATAAAATGCAGCTCGTGGTCTGTTTTGTTTTTGTAGTAATATCATTAGATATGTGTTCTGCTTATAAAACAGCAACAAACAAAAGAGGGGAAAGCAGTCTACTAATACAAGGAAGGAGTCCACTGCAGTAAAATGTTTGCATGATCCCCCGTAATCATGCAAACCCACTTTAATAATCCTTCTGTCTGTCGTAGGTAAGGTACCAAAATTCCTTTTGACTACTCCAGGGAGCTATTCCAGCTGGGATTTTTTTTTGTTGCTTCATATACACATATACATTCTCAAGCATTAAATAGGTTAATGTGGTGAGTTTTGCTGATACTCATCAAGCTCACCCCGTATTAAGAAAGCACCTTTTTGAAAGAAAGACCAATAAAAACCCTGTGATGAATTGGGAGCTTCTTCACTGCATCAAAGATATGCTAGTTAATGAAGTCCCCTAATTACTCAAGTAAGAGAATCAATTCGCTGTGAATGCTGGCCAAGTTGGTAAGACTGGTCAGAATGCTTCTTTGACACTTATAACCATTATTTTGTTTTTTTCTTTTTGGCACAATTCCCGTTCATTGCTATAAGTTTAATACATATCTTCCACAAATGCTTAAAAGTCAAGGAATCTTTTAAAGTGTCCTCTCCTTTGATTCTGTGATGGATGGGGAGTTAGATGTTTTATCAAGCCTACTGTAAGTGTTGTTGTTGTACCTTTGACAGGTCAGATTCAGAAGCTACCAGAATGAAAACTAGGTAGAATCCTCTGTTCTGTATTCTACTTTTTTCCCATAACATTTATAACTGGTTGTTGACTTACAGACCAACCTGGGACAGACTGGTGTTCAACTTCTGGCCTTCAAATAAATCCTCATTGAAAAATCAACAGTTGAAGAGCAGTTTGTCCCAGGTTCTTCACCATATTAACCCCACACCACTCTACTCAGAAAGATCTACTTAATATTTGCTCTCACTGTTTCTCTGCTCACACTCACTTTTGTTTTCTTGCTGTCGTCTCTACCAGAACACTCTTCTCAGCCGAGACTCACTTATCGTCTGACCAAGTCGGAGACAAAGGCAGCGAAAGGAATCAAGCAGAGAAAGACTGCAGCTGTGATATCCAGCACGAACCACACATCAGCTGAAAAAAAAAACGATGAAACGCACTTTAGGTCTGCGTTTTCCAAGCCTTACTGAAAGAGCTGCATGGGAGAAACACAAGGACAGCTCAACCAGTGAAGGATGACAGTGGCACTGCAGTTGTGATATCACCATGTGATGAAGTCACTGGCTGTGTCATGTATATCTCTGCTGCACTAACATGATGTCAGCGGGACCAATGGCCTGGACTGTTTCTTTCCTTCAGATGCAGTTTTTATCCCCTTTGTCGCTTTAGAAAAGCTCTGCAGAAATACTTGTTACCATTCAGTCACAATGGGTGCTTTAATATCTACTTAATGAGTAATGGGAGTTGAAGAGTCCACTTGTATAATAGATAAAAATGACAACACTCAATGTATAAAATATATTCTGTCTCTGCATCGGAAAACAATGGGCGTGATTTAATTTATTACCGTTCAACAACTAAAGCACTTACGTTTGAGAGATTTTTTTTGTGAGATTCTTAATTTACATAGAAAAACATCAACACCTTTATAAATGTTTGATTAATGAACACTTGAATTAATAAATTCATCACAGCACTGGGCAAATCTCTTGTTTATTTGCAGTTTCATTCCAAGGAAGCTATTTTCATCTCAGTACATATATTATATATTTAGAGTCTTTTATTATATATAAACTACTAGAATAACTAAATAATATTTGTAAGACGTGGATAAACATTTAGAATGTTTCATTCCTAAAACTATTAACTGTGTTGGTGAAAACTAGTGCAAGTGATGAATTATGTCATTCTTCACTAATAAAAATCATTTCCCTGGGAAGAAAAAAAAAGTCAAGAGCAAAAGAAGAGGTTTGCATTGTGCTGTACTTTTATCCACTAACATATCACCTCAGCTTTAACACAAGCAAAATAATAAAGAGGAGCATGTTGTATTGCATCACTAGAAAAGCTAATAAATGACTGGATGCGTATCATTCAATCACAACTGCAAAAAAGAAAAAAATTGAAAATACACAAACGCAGAGCACATTTTAAGTTATGGTTATGATTTTGTTTGTTACTCTAATAAATGTTTGTATATTTAAAACATTCTTGTTTGCATTATAAAACAGAAACATAACAAAATGGGAAATGTTGTGTCTATTATGATAGAAAAGATTTAAATCAGCAAGGCCCTATGAAAATAAGGTATTGCCCTCTAACAGATTGTGCCACCCTTTGCAGCCACTAATACACTGGAAATACATTCTTGGTATTTTTGACCACTCTGCTTCAACTTGTGTGTGTTTTTTTTTTTTTATTGGTCTGTTGAAGTCATGCTATAAGTCATTGAGGTGCTGAAGCAGCAAACCACTGTTGGTATGGTGTTATATTTCTCAACACTGTGTTAGTTTTAGGTCCGATGTAGCAGGAGGCAAACTTTCCAGCAGTGAGAAGAGGTTTCCTTCCTAAAAATTTCCACAGATGCAATTTTTGAATAAAGAATCATGAACAATCAATAAACTGAGACAGCTTAGGTGCTTTAGATGTTGCGTTATGTTCTCTTATGATCCCCTGTCGGTATCATCATTGTGTTCTTGAAGTAATTTTGTTAAGGCCAGTCACTTCTGGAAAAAGCTCAACACTTTTCTATCTTTTCTTAATCAGTGGATAACTGCACTCACTGCTATTAACTGGAGTCATAAAAAACTGAACTACCTTTTTGAAGCTTTGTAGACAGAAATATTTCAAAGGCATTTCTCATCTCTAAAAAGCTTTCGACTAGGGCATGATGTGTTGTTTGTTATGTTCATCTTGTTAAACAAGTTGTATTTTAGTGTTGTTGTTTTTTTTTTTTTTACAGGTCTGGTCATTTTTCTGATCTAGATCTAGATTTTGGAAGTAAAATTAAACTTTACAAAAAAAAAAAACGATTTGCTTTCAGTGTATTTTTCCATGTGCTGCTCCCTGGGCGCCGCACAATGGCAGCCCACTGCTCCCCAAAGGGATGGGTTAAATGCAGAGAGTGAATTACTTGTTTACTTGTGACAATGTGATGACAATAAAGTTGAATTCTATTCTATTCAGTACTTGGTTGTTATGAAACAGGCTGAGTTATGCCTGTGCTTCTCAGATATTTTCTCTTTCGTTTCCCATTTAAAAAATAAAAGAAGTTCAGTTCCCCTCATCTCAACAAATGGGTCAAAAATCTTTACATTCTATGACAGTGAAATAGGATTTATAACAATATTGGTTTGCAACAACAGTTTTTTGTTGTTGTTGTTTTTTTTAACATTGACATATATTACAAACTATATATCATTAAAAGCATTATAAAAGGGTTTTAGCCCTTAACATCCCTGCATTCAATACTCAGGAAGGAACAATATATAAAAACTATAATCTTCTCATTTTAGTTATAATACCTGATTTAATTTCACAGCAAAACCCTTGGGTTTCCCCCGTTATTCCCTAGCATCCCCACTAGGGGGCGTTTTCTGTTATTTGAGAACCAAGCAAGCAGAAGAAAAACTTAATGGGTTACAGATTTCTCATAGCAACTGGTTTTAACTACAATTTGTGGAGAATAATGATGAGATAGGTGTTTATGTCGCGATTGGCATTAGGCATATATGGAAGAGGATTAGGGCCACTGAAAAAATTAAAAAGTTTACAGATTTTTAAATATTATTTCAGTTTAATATGGAAAAAAGGCAGAATTCTGACTTTTTTCTCAGAATTATGAATTTTTTCTCTGAATTATTATTTTTTTCTCAGAATTATGATTTTTTTTCTCAGAATTATGATTTTTTTCTCAGAATTCTGAATTTAATCTCTGAATTCTGATAGGTAACAAAGATGTTAGTATCTAGCCGTACCCATGTGAAAAGTCAGTACTCTGACTTTTTTACCCCCATTTAAACTGACATAAAATCAAAAATTAAAACCAAATTTAAATAAAATTTAAAAATCTACTTTTTGTTATTTTTTCATTGCCCCTTATCCTCTTCCGTAGGTATATGCCTGGATAACTGGATATTTTTATTTCATTATTTTGCCTCTGGGTGAATTGCCTTTTATTTTTGTTTGTATCAATGCAATAATTCCTCCATGCCAATCAGATCATCTTTAGACAAGTGGAATAACTTTAACATGACATGTTCTGTTTGTACTGACTTTCTATTAGTTCTGACTTCTGTGTCTGTATGTTTTTGTGTGTGTGTGTGTGTGTGTGTGTGTGCAACAAGGAGAGAGAAATGACTCTACTTTTCTGAAAAAGAAGCAGTGTGTGACTGAGTGTGACTCATGTCCTTTGTCCTTTGTTATTATGACGGAGTCCTGTGTTGTGACTACACAGCTGTGTGTAAAGTCACGCATTCTTTTGCCATCCAAGCACGAATGTCTGCCACATTGTTCATTACTTATGCATTATTATTATTATATTTATTAAAAATATGCATTTAAGGAGGGAGGCCATAAAAAAAATGTTGACAAATAAACAGAATAGAAATATCATGCTTTCAGTAAAACATATTGATATCTCTTGTAAAGAAGCACAAAAGTCTTAAAATAAATTTGTATTTTATTGAAGTAGAAATTTCAGACAGAAAAACCACAACCTTTGTGTTTCAGAAAATTCTCGAATACAAAAAAACAAAACAAATTGATTGATTTATGATTTTATGCATTGGGACCTTCCAAAATGTCAGAACATGTTGAAGTGAATGACATCACTAATTTGAAATACCATAAGATTATGAAGATTATGCCATGACCTGTAAAATTTGCACAGACATTATGGAGAGAAGGTTGCTGGAGGGTCACAATATGACATTCTCTGCTTCTTACGGTAGACGATGAGCTTGGTTTCTTTCAAACTGACACCAGTGGTGTCCCCGGGGGCATCAACAGCACAAAAATAAACCCCGTTATCCCTCCTCATCACCTCGTGTATCACCAAGTCTGCCTCTGTGCAAACACAAAAATATGTCCCCAATTATAGTGCAATTGTTACAAAAACATTTTTAGAAATTTCTACCTTCTTTCTGGATTATATTGTTCAGTTAAAGCAGGGCTTTAAACTATTGTGAAGAAAGTCCAATACTTAACTTGTTTGTCTGTCAAACTTTGTTCTTAAAATATGGAAAATGAATAATATATAGCCAAAGGGTTAACCTGCTGTATTCACAAGTATTTTAATAATTTTAATTGATGGAAAAAGTTGTTATTTAGAAAAAATTGCAAAATATTAGCACAAGTTGGAAAATGAAATAATCTTCTATTTAAAATAAGCTGACTGACATTATGCCTGTACTTGCATGTACGCACTGTTTTGGATGGTGATCTTTCGATCACGATATTCAGATCCCCTTATTGGCTCATTGCTTCCTCTCTTCTGGATTACCGTCCGCACCGTCCGCTGATCGTCAGGACAATCATTTGATGGGTCCTGTCCCAGCTGCAGCGCAGCCTGGTAAGCTGTAAAAAACAAAAAATTGATCAAATCCATTATATGTGTGTACACTGTTTAGGTCATAACAAAAGCAATTGCTTCTTCCATTCTCTCATGATTAATGTATTGACATAATTGTCTGTTCATTTAAAATAAGATCACATTTGGTTAAATCAGTCACTAACTAACATTTGTGTACAATGATTTACAGCTCGCAAGATAAGACAGAGTTCCAAGAGGAGAAATGTTTTTACACTCATTTAAGGGTGTAAATATTAGAACCATATTTAAATGATCAACAACCAGATATTAAGGTTGATGAAAATTCTTGGAAAATATCATTTGAGTTTAAAGTATGAATGCCAGATTTGTTTTGTTTTTCAGGCTCTGTGATTTATCAAAATACTGAAAAGAAATACACTGATCTAAGTTGGCAAAGCACATGGCCATTAATATTTTGATAACAGATAATAACTGGAAGTAGGTTGGGTTGAAATGAGCTCCACAGCTTTACCTGTGGAGTAGTACTCCAGCACAGGATCCCTGCAGAAGGACTTGAACCTCCATGTGACCAGAACTTCCTGGGGGTTTGCAGAGGTGGAGTAATCACAGCGGAGGATCACTGAGCCAAACAAAGTGGCGTTCTGCTGTGTCTCCTGTACAGTCACTGTGATAGAAGCAGACCCTGGGGAGAAACAGCTGTTTCAGATAAAAAACAGTATAGAACATTAAGCTAATTCAGAGACCTGGGTTTTCCTTTTTCAGTGTGGAAGTTGTAATAGGGAAACAATATGGGTGTCTCTCTCAAAGAAGCAGTGCATCTCAAACTGGCTTTACAAGAAAGACAAGTAGCACAGACAAAAGTAACTCAGCAAAAATGCAAACTCATCATTCAAAACGGTGGAACAAAAATTATCTAGATTTAAATCTAATCGAGGGAGCAGGGAATTGTAAACATTATTTACAAAAGGTGCACAAATAGACGAATGACTCCAGTTTATTTGCAGGGTTTTTTCATTATTTTAGTCATAAAACACCATAAAGAACCAAAGCAAAGGATGTTCTTTACCTTTCAGCAGTGACAGCAGGACAACTAATCCAAGTAGTTTCTGCATCATGATAAAAGACACAAAAAAACTAATCCGAAGGACCGATCCTAAGCCATAAAATTTGTAAGAGTCTAGTTGAAATTTAAACAAACCTGACTTTTGTTTCCACCTTGACCATAAACCAGCTAGTTGTTCTTCCACACTCACTCTGAAATTCAGCTGCCGAGCTCTTATGATTGTGTGAGTTTTTTTCCTGGCCACGCCCCAAAACAGGTGAACTCATCTCAAGCTGTGACATTTACAGATACATTGAATTCTCAACATTCTCCTTAAGAAGGTAAACCCATAGAAATGTGAAAATATATAAACATACATTTGACCTGAATAAAATGTGTTTCGTTTTTAAAGTATTTGTTTCGTCTTTTTTTTTCATAAGTCATTTTCTTGAATTACGGTATATCTGTTTTTCCTGATAGTTTAAGGCAAATTATTTCAGGCAAATTAAATAGTAATTCACTGTTCAACTTGGAGCTGAATTGTTTCTATCAAAGGCTACTTATGTTTGGATGAGAATAATTGTAAACCTATTCATATATGTGCAGAGTTTGCTGTTATCAAGACTGTCAGTGCTAAGCTCACTTTTTAATTAATTTGTCTAATACAATCAACAATATTGGGCTGGTATCCACAAGAAAAAATGTGCTGATTAAAAATTATTTGATTAAATATTAAATTACTTAAGTATATTTTGGCACTTCCACAATTCTATGAGTCAGTAAAAACAAATTTATCCAAAACCTACACTTTATGCTATATGCAAAGTCAAGAAAAAGTTCTATTTTCTTCTTACCAGAAACCAAGCCAACACTTACATCCAGCCATAAACGAAAAAAAATTTGTTACAATACATTCATTGTTCTGCAGCTGTGGTGTAAGGTCTTTAATGCGGAGATACCTAAGAAACTGCTGCAGTAGCAATATCAATCAAGAATCAACATTCTTCATATTCATTATGTGACCATAAATACATTCATGAGACCCTGCCTAAGTATACACACATAATATGCTGATACAAATAAAAATAAAAATAAAAACACACAAAGAAGCATCCTTAAAGGTGTAGACTTAAAATTTAAAACATCCTGAGAAGATACTCTATTAAATATTGAACACTTTCAATACTAAATGCTAATAATAATTGAACTTTATTAATCTCACATTGGAAAAATTTACCTCTGCATTTAACTTATACCCCTGGGGAGCAGTGGGCTGCCATCGTGCGGCGCCGGGGGAGCAGTGTGGGGTTAAGGGTCTTGCTCAAAGACCCTGAGTAGCAGTCTGTGGGAGTGGGGTTGGAACTCAGAACCTCAGGATTCTAACCTCTATGCCCTAACCACCAGGCCGCCACTTATAAAGACTTGTTAAAGATATAAATATCCAGGAAGAAATAATGTGCATGAAAATATAGCATTAACTATTTACATAAATGCAGTTTGTAC